GGGACAGACAACAGAAAAGTGGGTGAAGGGAGATGTTGGACAATGTAAGATATGACAAAATAACAATTTATAAATTATCAAGGGTTCATGAGGGAGCGGGGAGCGGGGAGGGAGGGGGAAAATGAGGAGCTGATGCCAGGGGCTTACCTGGAGAACAAATGTTTTGAGAATGATGAGGGTAACGAATGTACTTTATACAATTGATGTATGTATGGATTGTGATAAGATTTGTATGAGCCCCCAATAAAATGATTTTTTAAAAATTGTATCAAGCACATTTGTACATATGTTGCCATGTTATTTTCTAAACATTTACTTTCTATTGAGCCCTTGGAATCAGCTCCTCTTTTTGCTTCTTCTCTTGTTTTTCTGTGAACTAATTCTAATCTTGTGTCTCACTACTTTCCTGCATCAATCTTCTACTCAAAACAATTTTTTTTTAAATTTTCTGTCACCTGAGCATACCCTTAGAACTCGGCTTATGACATCTCTCCCAACTTCCTTCCCCTTTCCACTCTAATCCTACTCAGTCTTCAAAACCAATCCACCACTGTTATCAAGTCATCTGACTTAAAGTGACCTGAGAGAGAGTTTCTGAGACTGTATGTCTTGACGAGACCAGATAGCCTCAGCTTTCTTCTGTGGGGCACCTGGTGGGCTGGAGGTGCTTAGCCCACTGTGCCACCAAGGCACTACCTAGAGTCCCCCTTTTTTCTCAAGCTCATAAAGATCCCTCCTTTTCTGAATGCAACTTCTCAACTAATATGAATAACACTGCAATGAGCTTTATATATGATAATTTCTAACTTCAAATTCATTAATAGTAAGTGCTAAGTCAAATACTACTTTGCATCACTTAAAGTACCTAACAAAATACTCTGCTAGCAATTATTATTTGAAACAGTCTAGATGCAGTATCATTCGATAATTTGGTGACTGATCAGGAAGACAGAAAAACATTCAACATTTAATATTTTGAAAAATATTTAACAAAATCGTTCTTTATACTCCTCTTTCCCATTTTAGTTATTAAAGAGGTAACAATCACCAACACAGGTCTTTACCTTGCCTGTAAGCAGACCTTAGCCTTTTCTTCCCATCGTTCCGACACTGTAAGGAGCTCCTGCAGCTCAGCCATTGCTTTCTCCACAGCATGGTGGGGCGCCAAGCCCACCCCAGAATCAATCAACTTCTTCATGACCTCTAAAGTGACTTGCTGTGGATCAGACAGGGTCAGTCTTACTTCATCCAACCATCGGGCCTGCTGTAGCTCTTGCTTTAGTCGGGGTAATTCAGGCAGTTCCACATACAGACTAGAGCCCATGTCTATTAGCATCTGGAGCTTGGAAGAATCTGGAGTTTCATCCATCATTGCCTCCTGAGCACGTTCATGAAATTCTTCCACATCATCCAGCAAATTCTAATAAGATCAACAAATAAAACAGAAAGCAAGTTTAAAAGATACAAAATTAGTGTGGAATACACAATCCGGGCAAACCAATAGACAACTGATGTACCATTTGTAGACCATATGTAATGTCACCATCATACCACCAAACAGATGATAGGCAAAAGTATCCATATGTTTCTCTATAATTAGTCTGCTTTATACATACAATTAATTCAATAAGTACTTAATGACTGCTGACTTAGATGCAGACATTATTCTAGCCACACAGTATTGAACAAGACATACAGAGTGCTTAGTCTCAAGAAACATACCATCTAATATAGGTGGTGAGAAAGTAGCTATGTGAATGTTTCAGTTTAAGTGCTACTAAAATAAAATAGGACAACGTGATGGAAAATTACTAGAAGGGGAGAGGAGCATATTACTTAGCTAGAGTATTCACAGAAGACAAAGAAATTGAATCCAAAATGAAAGGGATGTGGTGGGAACCATACAAGGAAGTAGAGGAAGAGCAGTTCACACAAAGCAAATAGTAACTGGAAAAGAGGACTGAGCTGGTATGATACGCACGTTGCGTAAGGGAGGGAGGGATACATATAACTGGAGAGTAAGAAGTAAAACTATGTAATATTTCATAGGTAAGAATAAGTTTGGGTTTTATTCCAATGGCTTTGTGGAGCAAGGGGAGAATTTTAAGCACAAGGGAATGACAGACTCTAACTCATACGTTAGATGACCACTCTGGTTACTCAATGAAAATAGACTGCAGGAGACAGGTGTAGAAACATGGAAATCAAGTAAGAAGTAGCTAGAGTAATCCAAGTACAAATCCTGGTGGGTCCAAACCCATTGTTGTCAAGCAGATTCCAATTCAGAACTGTTCCAGGGCCGAAGTGCCCCACAGGCTTTCCTAGGCTGCTCTCTTCTAGAAGTAGACTGCCACATCATCACCCTATAGGCTTACAGCCGAGTGCTTTATCTGCGAAGACACTAGGTTACATTCTTTCTAGTAGCTTACAGCAATGTTTAAGCCAAAAAGAAAATGAGAAGCAGTAGGCTTTGGGATCTAGCTTGGAGACAATCTAAAGATTAAATATGGAACCCACTGATAATAAATGAATCAACCTTATAGAAAGAGACAGACTCATTTACTAAGTCTTAGACAGGACAACAATAAAGACAAATCACCTACCCATGAAGCACTTGATGGCATGGATGGACCTGGAGAGCATTATGCTGAGTACAATTAGTCAATCACAAAAGGACACACACTGTACGACCACTGTTATATAGAAAACCAAAAACTATAAAATAAAGACTTTGATAAGCAAAGAAACAGACTTTGGAGGGGAGTGGGGACAGGGAGGGAGATAAGATGACAGGTAATAATCTGGGTGAAGGGGAAGTAATGTACAAGAGTGAGAAGAGAAACAGCAAGGTCTCTATAGAGTAAGCTGATGGGGGGGGCGCTGATTAATGGCTTAAATGGTTAAATAAATAATTTATTATCTGAAATGTAAACCACTATCTAATTCATTCTCTCTGTGTATCACATACACACACACACACACACACACACACACACCTCGAAGAGGGAGACTATCAGCAAGAGGACATAAAAGTGTCCAAGGATTCACAGAAATGCTGCCACTTAAATGGGACATAAAGTACAGTGGGAACTGTAATGAAATCGTTACTGATGGTAGATCAATGCTTCACAGTTGCAGGCAGAACTACAGAAACAGGAAAAGAACCACAACTGGGTATGTACACAATTGCAGATTAGAAAATTTTCATGAAAAGCTTTTAAGATGCTTTTTAGCCAATGAAATGGAAACACAGAAAATTACACTATACTCTGCACTGCTAGAATCTGTCCTTTGGATGACTACAATTGCCTCTTATTGCTTTTACTTTTGTGCCCTACAGTTTATTATTCGTTTTGTTGCCAGAGATTATCTAAATTATGATCCAGATCACATTACTCTCTCTGATTACAATCCTCCACTGGTTCCAGGAAGCAAGCAACTAGATATAGGAATCTGTAAAGAAGGAGAAAGGCAGTCAGAGCTAGAGGCTTGTGAGTAAATAAGCTACAAGTGATAGTTAATGTCAGTGGACAAATAAGATACCTAGAGTGTGGAGGGGAAAAAGCTGGTTTCTAATATATGCCATAATATAAATATATACTCCTAATATATACAATATACACAAACTTAGGAGTCAAGCCAAGAAGACTAACGAGTTGGCAACGAGCCAGGCAGAAACCTAGAAGACAGTAGTGACACAGATTAGAGAAATGTTTCCAGTGGTCAATAATCAAAATGATCTTCTGAGAAAGAGCAAGATAAAAACACAATTGAGACTAGATTTCCCAATCTGATAAGCTTTATTTTAGCTACTCTGTCCATTCCTCCAAACACATAAAAACACATCTCAAACATGATTCCTAATTACACAGATTAATACGTTATGTGTACTTCTGAGACTTTACATATTCATTAAACCTTCAGGACCCTGATGGTTTCAGAACTGTGTAATTTTAAAACTCCAGTTCTTATAACTCACCGATTCGCTCTCAGATTCATTTAACTAATGTCTTGCATTTCAATAACATCTATGATAAAGAGAAGTTCTGATGTGAAATTAACACAGGAATAATAAAGGAGCCTGTAGGCTGCGTCTATTCCGACTCATAAGGTTTCCTACACTATCATCTTTGGGGGAGCAGATTGCCAGGACTTTTCTCCCACTGAGCCCGAGAGGGTAAAACATCTGACTTCTTGGTTTTCAGCTGAGCCCAGAAGCGCTGTGCCACAAGGACGCCCATAGTTGGCTCAGTTCCAGCATTTTAAATGTGACCTAAAGAACGAAGCCAAGAGAGTCTTTCAAAAGTCACAGCCACACAGTCCATTCCAACTCTTAGCAACTCTGTAAGACAGAGTGCAGCGGCCCCTGTGTGTTTCCAAGGTTATAAATCTTTACAAGAGCAAAAACCTCATTTGGTCCTGAACTGCTGACCTTGTGTTTAGCAGCCCAACATGCAATCCACTATATTAGGACTGCTCCTATAAGAGCTTCTTATTACTTACTAAGTAGGAGAAGAGAGACAAATATGACAGAGCACGAGTCTAGACATTCCATTTCATTTAACCACATTATCCAAGACAGGCATGTAATTAATACTCCACCTTTACTTGTCTAGCTTGGCTGATGACACACGGAAGACTAAAGAGTTGTTGGACAAAGGCCTTCAATTCCTCCACTGTCAATTTGGTCCGAGTTCTCCCACACTCTGGGCTCTGCCTGATGTGAAATAATATTGAAACATAATAAGCAAGAAAAATTCACAGTCATTTTGGGATCAAAGGTGCTTTTCTAATTTCTTTATAAATCTGGCCCAGCATTTCCCAAGGTGGGCAATACCACCCCCTGGTGGCAAGGGTACAATGCAAGGGGGAGCAAAAAAAGCAGACACCTATACTTTATGCTGGATTATAGGATATAGAACCAAAGTTTTTAATTGCCAGGCATGGGGCTGCAGTTTTTTTCTGGAAATGAGGCCTTAGGCCAACTAAACTTGGGAACCTCTGGTCTATCCCAAGCATACCTGTTCATTCTGCTGCAATGATGGAAATGTGTTTTAACTCTTTAGTGAATATAGGACCCAAACCCCTGGCATTCTACACTAGCATACATTGTAGTGGGAGTGGGGAGTGGATAATAAATAAGTAATTTATCTAGGCTATCAGAAGAATAGATAAGTCGGTCGGTAGAGAAGAAGAAAACAAAGCTGGAAAGAAGGTGTAGTTTTAAAAAGGACTGTCAAGAAAAGCCTCACCGAGAGCATGGCATTCGGTCCCGGGTGTCTAGGGGAAGAGAGCTCACACAGAACCCAGAGTAAGCGTGGTGCCCTGTCAGGGACATGCCTCCCTGGTGCCCTGTCAGGGACATGCCTCCCGGAAGAGGACACAGGACGCCAGTCGAGAGAAAAAGGAGGTCAGACTGGACAATACTGACAAAGGGAAACACAAAGGCACAGAGGGCAGGGCTCACAGGTTGTAGTTATAATTTTCTGTTTTACTCTGCAAGAAATACAGCAAAAAACCTTCTTGGTCTTACTTGTGTTTCTGCTTTTTGCTCAGAAGCAGCTGAGCCACAGAAGCACAGGTCTCAGCTTCTTTTACAGCATCCCTGAGTTTTCGAAATAGATCATTCTCTGGATATTTCCTATCCTCAGCATCTTCCAACATCACTCTCAATTCAATCAAATCTGTAAAAACAAATAAAAAGTCATGCACCATAATCGCAGATATAAAAAGCTATTCCAAAATCTTAACCAACCTCTCTAAAGTGAATCATCAACCTATTCGTAGAAACACACTGCAGCTGTGATCCAATCTCTAATCCAATCAAAGTATATGACCAGGTATTCATTTCTAGGCCATATGGATGATTTATCTCAGCTAAGGGGAATTTCTCTTTCCACGCAAGACTGCTGCGTTGACTGACCCATTGGTAACAATAGCTCCTCAAAACAGACATCTATCTACTGCAAGTCTGCAATCAGTCCCATTTTATAAACCTTTTTGTTTAAAATAAGACTCTCAAATAGAAAACTAAATCCACATGCAGGCCATCCATATTCTCAAACTCATATGAAGCCTAGGAACTTTCCTTAAAGTGAAGGAAAAATATACTTTGAAAGGGGCTCTTTTAAAGGGACAAGCATTTCAAAGTATGTACACAAAAGGAGGAAACGTAACCTTTCTTGTGGTTGAAACTAGCAGATAGTGCTTCTGTAACCCGACTGGCCCAAGTGTCATAAGACTGTGCCCTGACTTTCACACCATAGAGGAGAGAAGGGAGATCTTCTAACGGGTAGCGGTATCTAGGGGAAAAAACACAGAAATCAAAACTTTAAGAACCAACAACTTAAAAATAAATTAAATTTCAATACAGATAGCTTAAGAAAAGTAATGGCCAGGGAATGGAATCGTGGTTCACATAGAATGAAAAGCAATGAATCTCATTAAGTTTTGACATTAAGAAGAGACAAGGAACATGTGAAATCAAGTGACAGACTAGATAGTAGTTATATAATTGCCAATTTAAGGATAAGCATGTAGGGTTGGAGTCTAGCCTGTCAATCAGGTCATAGCCAATGAGGCTTCTGTGTGGGCATAGCCTTCCCCTAAGGATTCTGGGAATTCTTGTATTACCTCCTTGGAGGTAGGAGACTCTCTGCTCCCAGCCTGAAAGACACAGCAGCTAAGAAGACACATGGACCCACCCTGATGCAGCCCTGGGTGCTGGAGAAGCCATGCAGAGACTCCTGCCAGCTTTCAGATGTTTCCAATGCCACTGGATCCAAAGACTTAATACCCACTGGCCTGTGATCATCTACATTCGCCGTCATTTCATGAGTTTCGTGAGCCTGAAGAGGACTTTATAGATTGGGACATGTGGGCTAATACCGGACTTATGGACTTGATCTAGACTGGGCTCAATGTTCAATTGCTCTTGTATATAATTTTTTCTTTTTTTTTTAATAAATCTCTTTCATATACACAACATGTGTGTCCATGGATTTTTCTCTCTAGTCTACCCAGACTAACACAGCCTAACTTTAACTGCCAAGTTTAGAGTCAATGTCAGAGGGCTGGTCCTAGAGCAGAGACGCAGACAGATTGACAAAAGTTACTATGTATGGGAATAACTAAGAAAAAGAGCAAGACTTGGTTTTACAAAATCCTCATGGATACCTCAAACATTTCTTCTGCATGGGGCAGGGACACAAGTCAGCTGGGTGGTGGAGACACACAAGTCGCTCAGGATTACAGGAACACGTAAGGGCAGAGAGAAAGCACGTGGTTCTGCATGCTAAGCACTGCCGCTCATCATCAGGAACAAGCTCAAATACTTCTTCTTCAGACATCACAACACCCTGAAAGATAATATATGCCATCAGATCAGTCTTCCAAGCACCAAAGAACGTAAGCTATTAAAATGTTTCCCCAAAAGCCAATCCCTGATTCAAGGAAGAAACATGGATGGTACAAGGAGACAGTAAAAATACACTTTGGTACCTAAGGATGTTCATTTGAATAATGGAAATATAAAGACATGAAATAAGATAAAATGATTACTACAAAAGTTAACACAGTAGTTCTTTGAGGGGAGGGCAGTATAACGGGGTGGTTGACAAAAGTCTGTCTCTTAATCTGGGTGGTGATTAGGAGAATCTTTATATTCATGAACTATATGTCTGTTTTATGTAGCTATCTTTTAATAAAATAATTACAGGAGGAAAAATACTACCCCCGGGAACAATGCATCCTTTAACAGAATAAATTACTACCCTATTACCTGGAAATAACAACGGTATATACAAATTAAATCAAGGGCAAAGTAGTTTAAAATTACTTAAAACTATCCAAATCAAAATATAACCTACTTCACCAACACATCATAAAGAAAATCAAATCATATTTCATGATTAAAGAAAGAACATTTCAGTGCAATTTACAAAGACTTCCATTTTTAATATACAGCAACTCCCTTTATCGTTTGTAGTTACCTGAGCAAGGTACTTGTAAGGCAATTCTGCCATGAGAGCAAGTGTTTCCCATTTAAACAAGGTGGGAACCTGATAACTGATTCACTGGCAGACACAATGCCGTTCTTTCATCAGACGTTTTGTTTCTGACATGAGTTTAATCTAGATGTCTGCTGGCTATATTCTAATAGTGTTGCTTCCCCCCCCCCCCACAGTATTTAGTATTCTCTTTAAAAACTATTTTTATGGAAACATGGTCTCAAAATACATCATCAGAGTTCTTAGGTCACAAGAACTTATATAGCTTCAGAACAACTGGCACAGTGGGGAGGGCACGAATGTAGCAACTGACAAATCTTAACTGCATCAAGACATTGTACATTTTATTAGAACATCATTTCCAAAATTATTCTCCAAGGGCCACTAGTCCTTTAGATTCTTTTTTAAAAAATGCTGTGTATTATATCCTTCTTCCCTTAGAGATGAACACTGGCATATTAAAGGATCATAGAACGTAATAAAGAACCTTTATTATCTTTTCTTAACATAGCCATTTCTCAAACTTCTTTAACCACACAACAATTTTCCTTTCAATATCTTCTAAAATATTTAAAACCCTGGAAGTACTGACAAGTAAGTGTTCAACTTCTAACTGGAAAATTGCTGGTTCAAACTCACTAACTGCTGTGCTCTCGGGACAAAGACGAGGCTGCTGCTCCCATAAAGACTTACTGCCTCAGAAACCGTACATAAGGCTTCTAGGAGTCAGAATCAACTCAATGGCAGTGGGTTTAAGTTTGGAATTGTACTTAAAGCACATGCTCATAGGAATAAATTCTCAAATATTCTAACTTATCTGGAGTTAGGAAAATGCCATTTGCGTAATTTGGGTGAGAAAATCAGGGAATAGAACAAGATGGTACCAGTAAAGGAAAACTAAGAGAGTATCGATGGTGGTGGTACTAAGTGGCATTGCCAAAATAAACCAAGGAATACTTATAAATAAGTAAGAGATGGCTTATGAAGGAAATGAGTGTGTGAAGGAGTATCGTAATAAAGTTGTACATGGGAGAGGGGGAGGTGGGGAGAAAGGTAGTGGTGTTAACGAACCTAGGGACAAGGGAACAAGTGATCCAAATCAGTGGTGAGGAGGGTGTAGGAGGCCCGGTAAGGCATGATCAAGGGTAATGTAACCATGAGGAATTGCTGAAACCCAAATGAAGACTGAGCATGATAGTGGGACAAAAGGAAAGTCAAAGAAAATAGAGGAAAGAGCTAGGAGGCAAAGGGCATTAATAGAGTCTAAAAAACGCATGTACATAGGCAAATATATTTATATATGAGGATGGGGAAATAGATCTATGAGTCTGTATTTATAAGTTTAGTATTAAGGTAGCAGAAGGACATTGGGCCTCCACTCAAGTACTCCCTCAATGCAAGAATACTTTCTTCTATTAAATTGGCATTC